AAAAATCAATATCGTATGTAACATAAAAATTTTTTTAGTTTTCTCAGAAGTATTTTTTTATCTATCAATAATTGAAGTTTTTATAACATTTTTTAAAAAATTGCATTTTCTAATATTAGTTATATAGAGAAAAAAATATCTAGTACAAAATTGTCAATGGTGTGTCAAGATAAGTTAAACTTGGCCTAAACTTACAAAAATTTTCTATCAATTATTGATATTTAATACCATACGTTACAAAATATTGATATACCAAACATGATAGAAAATTATATAATAACATTATGGCATGTCGCCAATACAAAAAAAACATCGGAACATCTTATATACCTTTTTAATTAGTTTATTATAGAATAATTTAATTTTAATATATGATATACTCTTAATTACTTGATCACAAAAAAAAGACAAACCAACAAAAATAAAAGTTAAAAATAGATATATTTTTTAAATATGATAGTTTTTCGAAAATTCTAATTAAGAAGAATTTGAAAAGAGATATTGAAAAAAAAAACTATCTATTAGAATATGGTTTTACGTATTTGTAATTAAATTATGAAGATAATTTGATGTTAATTAATTGTTTACTTTAAGTTAATATATTGATATCACATTTTTATTTTAAAGAATCAATGCAAAAATTCTAAAATCAAGAGGGACAAATGTCAAACTTAAGTAAAAATAAGGTACTAAAAATAAAAAAATTGTTAACACTAAAAGTGACACGTGGCAATATCTTAAAACTTCAATTAGAGGAAACCTTAAAATATTATATTAGATATATTAGTTTATTAATTATATAATAATTTGATTTTAATATTTGATGGAAAAAAATTGATTTAAGTATAAGATATTACTCTTAATATACTTGATCACAAAATGAAAAAACAACAAAACAAGTTAAAAATATCTTTTAAAAAAAATGATAGTTTCTCAGAATTTATAATTAAATTTTTTTAAAGAATTTGGAAAAAATAATTATCTATTAAAATATGGTTTTACATATTTCAATTAATTTATGAAGATAATTTGATGTTAAATGACTTCATTTAGAATATTGATATCTTATTCTTATTTTAAAGAATCAATACAAAAATTCTAAAATATAGAGGGGTAAATGTCAAAATTAAGTAAAAATAAAGTCCTAAAATACAAAAAATGGAAAATTATCATAAAAAGTGACACGTGGCAGCTTTTCAAAGCTTCACATAGAGAAAACTTTAAAATATTATATAAGATAAAAATACAT